GCACAAGCAGTGGTAGATCCTACACTTCACGTTCTCTGGGACCCCATTAGTTAGTTAACTACCTACTTCCAACTCTGAGTCCAAATGAGCAGAAATGCACCCTACCTAGTACAAAAGTACTTGTATACTGCACCTATCACAGAGCAGACGAAAGTAAGTATGGCACTGAAGTCAGTAGTAACAGGCAAACAGAGTGCACAGACCTCACCACTGCCCAATGAGGAATCTGCAGAGTCTTCATACACTAGCCAGGTCTTTCCCCTGCATCTTACCAACAAAACCTTCCCTTGCCATTTGAAAGCCAGCTGCTAAGAGGCAGGCTGAATAGTAAAAGGGAGCTGCTTCCAAACAGAGGTGACCTTGCAAGCTTTCTCCCACCATCTGCTCTTTCACTGAGCAACCAAATGGGACCCTCGGGATTCTCTGAAAAAGTAACAGAGAAATTAAAGAACCAAACAAGTGCAGTTTTGCACTGATGTAACAGAGGCCAGCGGGGCCTTACAGGTCTGGCAGCCAGTGACAGCACTCAAAGGACCTACAGGGAAGTGGTTTCAAAACAATGGAGAGGGCCATGATCCGATCCCAGGAAGCTACCCCGTGCCAGTGGCAGCACACAGCAGGCATCTCCTCCCCAGCACGCCTGGAGCCGCAGCGAGGTGCGTCCCAGCACCACTACAGGACTGCAGCCACAGCAGGACAGACTCCGGATGCTCCACTTCACCACTATGCAGGACCTGCCAGGGAGGAGACAAACCCCTCATGCTAATAAAGCATTGGGATTACAGCCAAGTACAACTTTAAATCTGTACCAACTATCCCAGGAAACAGATTTCAACTTTCCCCACAGGTAGTGTCAGCATTTAAATTAACTTATATCAATAACATGATGACTTCTATGCATTTTGCTGCTTCTGAATGCACTTACATAGACTATCAAATACCAAATTATTTTAATAAAACCAGAGAAAGATATGCAGGGAAGAAATCGCAAGTAAACATACCAGACCTTTAACTGTGTCTTTTCTGCTGTCAGCTGAAAAACTGAAAGGGATGGTCTAAATTATAGTGTCCCATACACTGTAGATTTCCTTTTATCAATGGATTAATGGTTCCCATTTATTTCTAATCACATTTTTCATAATAAAGAATCCATACGCATTCCTGTTGACACTTTATTTTGAAAACTGTGCCCGTACCAAGGCAGAGTGATAATACAGCTTTCTGTGGACTCAGAATTACATTTGTAAACTGAGCTGTAGGCTCTTTTGCCTCAATAATTACCAAAATTTTTTTTTTACCTTCCTGCCTGCATCTGAGCACTCAGGACTGTGGACACTTCCACAATATCCTTGAATATATTTTTAAGTTTTAGACATAAAGGTCATATTTTTCCCAAATTACATACTCAGATTATCTTTAGAAAACATTAAAAATACATGATAAACTTAGAAGCCAAGTAGTAATTCTTTCCACAACCATTAGGGGATTTCTCCTCCTCTGTTTTCTGTCACTGCTGCATGTAACTGGCGAAAGTGCCCTGAAGCTCCACAGCTGCAATAGCTAATATAGATACCACACAAGTGGTTCCGGCCAGAGATGCCTTCTTGCAAACCACATGCTGAGAAGGAATTGTGTGAAGGGAGGGCAGTTTCTAACCATGCTGGTAAACATCTTCCTCACATCCAGGATCAGTCCTAGACAGTCAGAGAGTTCAGGAGTAAGGCTATGATGAACTCACAGCACCCATCGCCACAGTCCAACCTGGATGGCATCGCAGACATCAGCATGGACGTGATTTGCACCAGTGGAAAATATGAAATCAGTGGAGCTAAACTCAGAAGATCAGAATGAGGCTCAGCTCATTATCTCTGCAAATTCATGCACAGGGAATTGCATGCTGCACAGCGTTTCCCACTCTGAGTCACTCCAGCTCCTGCTCTAGGCTGTTCAGAAGCAAACTGTCAATAAAACTCATTAATGATGTGCTTTATATAGAAATTGTGCATTTAACTGAGAGGCTACAACAAATGAAGAGTGCAGCGAGGGGTGAATTACATTGTTAATGGAATACAGGATGTGTGTCAGTAAAGAAGTGGTAAAGGTGGGTGGGTGTCTTCATATTACATAGATCTGCTTCAAGTTTGGTGTATATATGAACCTAATTCCCCTTTTGATTTCAGTATAGTTAGATCTAGCACTCCTCTGTTTCTACTGATATATAAATTCTCTGATGAATAACTGATAACCAACTTTCTTTTACGTAAACCGTTACTGGAGAGCCAGCAAATATTATAGACATGTTATTTGTCTTCTCTTTTTAGCCTTGTTCTCATCTGAATCATGTTTAGCTAGCATTCATATCTATCTCCTTGACTGGTGGTCGCTATAAATATATAGATATACACACCCTTGCAGAACCAGTGGCAGGAACAGTGCAAAACAGATGTTATTTGCCAGGTTGTCTTATTTTTTGTCCTATCTAAACACACATCTGCAGTTGTTGGCAACATTATAACAGAGAATGGTTTCTGTACCCCCTGTCCAAGTTGTATACCTTGTAAACTATTCTAGCATCGTAACACAACTTTAAATTATAGCTAACAACTGACCCTCTAAGCAGACACCTCTCAAGTCTGTCCATTCAAGACTGCTGTTTACCTCATGCTTACAGGTAATTCTGACTTCTTAAAACAACTAGGAGGATCTGGGAAGCAACCCCCAGAAGAAAATGAAAATGAGCAAAAGATATTTCACAAACTTGGGGGGCAACAAAGACATTACAGCAACAAAGACATAAGAAGCTGAAAAACTGTCAACCCACATGAGAGTTCAGGTTGAAAGGAGAGAAGCCCTGAAGTGTGGGGTGGTGGGCAGGAGAAAATAGCTGTAACACTTCTCAACACTTCTGTGTTGAGGGGAAAAAACACAGCAAGAGATCAAAATCATGACCTGAACCCGATCTCCTTCACACTGGTTGTATCATAAAACCACTGGGCTGAACCCTGGCCATTGCATCAATGACACAAAGCAGTCTCAAAGCCCAGCCAAGCAACTACACCAGGGGTTCTTTTTTCCTTCACAAGAACTCAAGATGATAGAGGCCAGCTAAGAGTATGGACTTTCAGAAATAAAATAAAAAAAACACGTCAATTTAATTGCCAGTTGGCTGGACAGCTTGTTTTTCTGTTAATGTTAGTTGTTTGGGGGGGGGGGGGTAATATTACTGCACTGAAAAATGTGGGTGTGATATGGCATTTAACTGGAACATTAAGTGCCTAAGACATATTTTTGTCTATATCTGTCAGAAACTGAAATCAGTACAGTAGCTGAAAACACTAAGGATCATAAGGTGATCAATTATGCTAAATATAAAACTGATCACCAAGAAAGATGTTCTTAAAATCTTAATAAACATCCTTGTGCGCAGGACACATGATTCATGGTTTACAGAGTGATAAGCACTAAAGGGTCAAGTAACTCACCTAGTTATCACTCAGAAAGTCAGGATCAGGCTGAAATGAGAACTCAGGATCCTGGTTTTCCATGCTGATCTTTCTTACAACTGCATGCTATTCCAAGTCCATAATGTCCTACCAATATCAAGCACCTCTGTTTCCATAAAACAGCTTATTTTTGTGCTGAGCAGAAAAAGAACCACTGTGTTCAAAGTGAGAATTCTAGCATTCACTTGTACACATAAAATGTCATTGCTGAGCCAAGACACAAATGGAGAGCTTGACCCAATCAATAGATAATTTACCATTATCAGTGGAAACTGCCAAAAATTCCAGTTCATACCTCCGCAATTAAACTGACTGTCCATGCAGAAGCAGCCTGAATAGAAGAGCACACTGAAAATGGAGCCTTCCAAAGCCCTTGGCTTCTGACAAAATGCCACCTGCCAATCAATGCAGCAGCAGTGAGGCTGTCGGTCTCCTCAGCAGTTCACTCCAGAACAGAAAGGCTTGCAGGCCGTTAAAGACTGTACCTGTTACCTCAAGATGTCTGCCCCCTCATCCTAAGCATCCTGCCAGGCAGACTTCTTCCTGCAAGGTACAGAAGCACTCACCTGATCTTCACCCTGTGCTCCCACCACAGGCACTGGAGAGAGAAATTACTTAAAACACTGGGGTGTGAATGTGAAAGAGCTGAAGACTGCAATGCCTTGTAGCTTCGGGCGGAACACAAAAGCAGAACTCAAATGAACAACCTTCTCTATGAAGAGGAAGCAATAATGCCATGACCTAAATTTGCATTCTGTGCACCAAACTTATTTATATGGGGAGGGAAATAGGTTTAGGAAGAGAGATTCAGGTCACCAATCTTTGCTTAAAGTATCAGTATTTAATCCTCTACCGGGCCATTACACGCCCACAACATCTGTATTTCTGATTGCTGTTCACAATTTCTGATTCATGGTGGTGAGGCGCTGGCACAGGTTGCCCAGGGAAGTTGTGGATGCCCCACCCCTGGCAGTGTTCAAGGCCAGGCTGGACAGGGCTTTCGAGAAACCTGGTCAAGCAGGGGTCCCTGCCCATGGCAGGCGGGTTGGATTCCAACCCAAACCCTTCTATGATTCTGTAATGGTTCTATGATAACACCATAGAAGGCCATATATCTCTTACTTAAGTTTAATGCATAATTTAAGACTGGAGTTTTCCTTTAAACTTGGTGGGCTGCAGCCACTGGAATCCTATTTGATTACTGTAATTCAGCTGTTTTTCAGAATCCTAACCAGCTGGTCTACCAGGGTACTCAGGTGCTCAACATCTGCTTAAATTCATAGAACTCCAGGTGCTTTTTTTGGGATCAGAGCCTAATTTTCTTTAACAAATCCCTGAAATAACAAGTTAACTTCTGACTTCAAACACAAGTATTTCATAGGCATGATCTACTTGCACAGTCATGTGTGTAAGAAATAAGGTAATGAGATCATTGCCGCAGATATCTAAGTGGAGTAAAACATTGCATGTAATGCCCTGGCAGAATAAATGCTGTACCCTTTTTGTACATCAGCCTGAAACAACCACATGCTGGCTTCACCAGGTCGGAACTGAGCCAAAAGATTATCCATCTTTTCTGTCACACGTGGATTCTCCGAGGGTCAACATCTGGAACTCCATGTGCTTGTTCTGTTCATCTGTGGTTAAAAGTAATATATTCAGATGCAATCACACTCAAAAGTGATGACAAAGAGACACACCAAGGACAGTGCATGCCGTACAGAAAGACCTCAATGTAACACTCCAGTGGGAGAGGTGGTGTCAGAAACTAAACTAAGTTGAAATCTGATCAATTTGCCAGAATGCCTTAGCCGCAGCAAACAATTAGTGACAATAAACAAACCGTTTACATAGTTCATTCTATGTCCACGACACCGTACTTGGCACTACCGTGCTCAGTTTTACGTGGCTGAACTACAAGCCAAGTAAAAAGCACCTCGTGCCCCTTCTCACCACCCAAGAACCTTAGGGGACAAAACACGCGGCACGGGAACTTGTTCGTGACTGCGGCTTCCCGGTGCCGGCAGGCAGGGCACCGCGCAGACCCCTAGGCAGGCGAGACAGCCTGGCTGCCAGGAGCACAGCGGCGCCGCGCTACTCCTTGTGCCCGCGACCCCACAGCCAGCGGCCGCCCCCGTTCCCTACGGCACCGCCACGGAGCCCGGCTGCCGAGGGCACTTCCCGCACGCCCCGCCCGAGCTCGCCCCCCCGCCGCGGCATTAAGATGGCGGCCAAAGACGGCTCCGCCGCACCCCGCTGGGAGCCAGCCGGCCCCACCGTGCCCCGCACACCACCCCGCGGGACACGGCCCTCACCAGCCACTCACCTCCGCCGACCCTGCTGGGAGCCGTGATTCTCGGCCCTCCACGGCCCCTGGCCCTGCAGGACTCTGAGGAGCAGCCGGAGCTGCGGGGCCGCGGCCACGGACAGGACTACGAGCCCCGAGGTGCACGGCGGCGCTGGCGCGCCTGCGCGGCGGGGACTGGGGAGGAGTCGGAAGCAGCGAGGGGACCGCCTGTGGCGGCCGGGCCGGGTCGTGCGCCGCCATGCCCCGGGACAACATGGCCTCCCTGATCCAGCGGGTGGCGCGGCAGGCGCGGATCACCTTCCGCAGCCCGGCGGGGCCGACCTTCGGGGAGAACCTGCACCGGCTGCAGCAGCTGCTGGACGAGGTGCGCGCCGAGGACTTGCACTTGGCGCCGCGGGGGCCTTCGGCGGCAGCGGCGGCAGCGGGTGGGGGGCTGCCGTGGTCCGGCGTGGTGCCGCCCGTTAGCTACATGCACATCTGCGAGACGGAGAGCTTCAGCATGGGCGTGTTCCTGCTGCGGAGCGGCGCCTGCATCCCGCTGCACGACCACCCGGGCATGAACGGCATGCTGAAGGTGCTCTACGGCACTCTGCGCATCGCCTGCTTGGACACGCTGCCCCCCGCCGCCGCCGCCGCCCCGCCACCCCCCGCAGCCGCCGCGGGGCCCTGCCACCGCGCCCTGTACCGCTCCCGCCAGCACTACACGCCGGCCTCCCCGCCCTGCCTGCTCTCGCCGCACACCGACAACCTCCACCAGATCGACGCCGTGGACGGGCCCGCCGCCTTCCTCGACATCCTGGCGCCGCCCTACGACCCCCAGCACGGCCGGGACTGCCACTACTACCGCTTGCTGGAGGGGCCGTTGCCGCAGGCGGGCGCCGAGCCGCCCGGGCTGCCGCGGGAGGTGTGGCTGATGGAGACCCCGCAGGCCTCTGACTTCTGGTGCGGGGGAGAGCCCTACCCCGGGCCCCGCGTCTGCCTCTGAGGCGGCGGCCTGGTCCCGGCGGCGGCTGCTGGGACCTTCGGCGCTCGGCCCGCGCCCGCCTCAAGGACCGGCCTGCCGGAGTGGCCCGGAGCCGAGGTCGCGCTTCGCCGCGTGTCGCGGGACCGCGCTGGGGCTCCTCGGGAGCGCTACGAGGCAAAGAATTCTTCTTTACACGGGCCTGGCGTGCTTCGCAAATCGGGGAAATAAAGCGCGTGTTTATGTCCTTTGGGCTCGTGCGGAGAAGTAGCGGCACGGTTAAACTTGTGCTCAGCTGCATGGCTGGGGAAACATAATCCAGCATGCTGTGTACATAGTTGCGGCCGCGCATCAGTGAGGGGGTTCGGGCGCTGGCAGGGAAGGTAAATGCGGTAAGCATTGTTGCGGGGTGCCCTGACGTCCCAGGAGCTGTCCCCGCTGCCACAGCAACCTAGCACCGGTGTGGGACAGCCAGCCTGTGGAATCCACCCACCCAGCCCGGGTAGGGGCTGGCTGGGCTGCAGCCTTTGGGGACGCCATCACCAGAGCAGTTCTCAGCAAGAGGTGTACCTGCCAGCAGAAAACAAACCCCGAACGACTCCCAAGCCAGGACATGCTCCACCCGTAATCCCTATGGCTGGAGCTAGGGGAATTCCTGCTCAGAAGGGACACTGTTAGGTCCAGAGTTACTTTCTAATAGTTCTTTCAAGCGTTGCATACAAGATAGCGCTATTGCAACTGAGAACTGCAGAGTACGTCTATGCATATTTCCTTCAGCTAGGAGGAGACTAGCCAGCTGCTAGCTACCCTTGCTCAGAACCTCTCATGCAGCAGTGGTGGAGGGTAGCGGAAACTGGGCATCTTGAGAGAAAAACAATTCTCCACTGTTGTGTCAAGAAAGCTGTTCTAGAAACACGACGTATTTGTGAACCCTATATATACAGCAGTGCGCATACACTAGGTACGCGCAGATAAGATTTGATCTGCTGTCTTCTCTTTAAAGCATGGCCTGTGTTTTTATATGGACAAGTGAAGGCTTTGGGCTTTTGAAGCCTTGCGGTTTTCCTCTTTATACTATTTATAAAGACTACTTTTTCATAAGGCTTTTAAATAAACGTAGCATAGAAGAGACACCATGAGTTTTGCCTTGCTATAATGGAACCAGTCTGGAGATGCAGTTTGCACAGGACAAGGGATGCAGTCTTTCTAACAAGGGAGAACCTTTCTCTGCAGGTGAAGTACTCTGTCTGTACTGCATGGACTGGTCTTCTGCCATCAGCCTAACATACACCTTGCACCACAAGCACATGCTAGGGGAGCTTTGGCCCTCTTAGCCATGATGTGGGAATTTGAATAAGACAGCGACTTGCCAATATCCTAAGTGATGTACCAACCTGCTCCAGAAATCATTCCACAATTGGCTTTAATTTTCCTTTGTGTATTTATAAAACAGACTTGTTTTTCCTGTACAGTGGCTTGTATGTGTGAATTTTTAAATTATTCTGATATAGCATTGCCTTTGTTTTCTGGTTTTTTTTTGGCCTGTAAAAGAACGAATGTAAAACACCGTCAGCATTATGCATGCACAGATTAATTCCTTTGCAAGGAAAAACTGGTGGAAATTATTTTGGGTGATTTCCATTTATTCTTACAGCACTTTAAGGTGCCTGATATTTCTGCAGCTGGCTTACCTGTTTTTCCTGGAATTCCCCTGCAGTTTAGCGTTAGTTAATATTTAACAATTATCCATCAAATGTAGTCCTTAACTATAAGGCAGTGCCTCCCTGTGTTACAGCCTGGGTCTAACCCTTGCCGATGCTAATGAAAATCATCATCCTTTTTCAGAAGTTCACAAAGATGGTGTGGTTCATGCAAACAGCTGTACTGGAAAAACAGACTGCAAAAAGGAGCATTTCTTATCTCCTCTGCTCTGTCCTCCCATTAGGTCTTTCTGCCTGTTTTTTAATTTTTCTCTCTGTGTATAAAACCTAGTTGAGATGTTCAGTGGCACAGGACTTTAACACATCTTTCCATAGAGGACACCATGGTACCTGAGGCTGTGGAGTGCCACTAACAACCGTGGCAAAACCCTACTTTTTTAGTGAAGGTGATAGCATCAAAGTATTAAAGCTGAGGAAAATGACAAAACCTGAAATGCATTAAAGAAAAGCCTCTTCGTGTAACTTCTTGCTTATTCAGTAATTGAAACTTACTTCATATTTTCTGGATATCTGTAAGCGGAAGGTTTAAGTCTATAATGTTGTTCCGTCTCTCTGCAGTCCAATTATTGTGTTTTCACAACAGCAAAATTAGTGTTATTGCTGAATTTTAGAATAAATACAGGATATCTCACCACTGATCAGTCTTTGCTTTCCTTCACAAGTTCAGCAGTCTTGAACCAAGCATGGTGTAGAGTGCACGTTTCTTTTGCGTTATGGTCCAAATGGGGCGACTGGCCTGTTTCAGAGAGGTGGTGCTTGACACTGGCTTCTCAGCACAAGTCTTCCACTGGCTCTTTGTAGACAAACGCAGGCACATGCTTTTGAAGCTGGCTGTTACTGCAAGGCAAAGGCACGGGTGCGAGGTCGCTGATACTACTGTGCAATGTAAGGTTCTCTTGTAGCTGCATACTAGTCACCGCAGTTTCTTCAATTCAGCTCATTTTCAATTTCTGTGCCGTTTGTCTCACTTTGCTTTTGACTGGGATTTTAATCTGGGAGTGTGGCTGAAGGCAGTTCAAAGAGTGTGAGCAGAGCCTTGGACTGTGCGCCTGGGTAGCTGAGATCCCAGTTCTGCTCACGACAGTCTGGCTGTGGCCAAGCTGTGGTTATCTGTGGCTGTGGCAGTACCTCTGGGAGCCCAGCAGGTTGAGAGCAGTGAATCCCTGTCCGCCTCCCCGTAGCGCAGCCCACTGGTGCAAATCAACCTGTGGACTTACGCTCCTGTGTGACATCCCTCCAGCAGCATACCGGGGTCTCTTTTGTGGAGCCAGGAACTCATGGGATCAGGTGGCAAGGCTGCAACCCACTAAGAGATGCGGCAGGAAAGGTGAAGGCTTACTCGCTCTGCTGAGGTGGATGGCAGGGTGGTGAGCACAGAGGCTCTGGAGCTGGCATCATTCTGTGACTTCTCCATACCATACAGACTGGTCCGTGCCTGGCTTTTGATTCGGAGAATCAAAAATCACTTTGGAAGCCTGCTGTCTGCTTCAAAATCAGACACAGTGTTTCAGCTGCTACTGACCGCCTTTCCCAAGCAAAAGCCAGTCCCAGTTCCAGTAGAGAGTTAGCAGGGTGTTTCAGACAGAAAAGCCTGGTGCCACTGGGCTTTGTGCAGTGGGACCCAGCACCGGGGCAAGCAGAGGCTGGGAGCCACTGGGCAAGGGCCTTGTCCCCGTTCCCTTCAGTGTTGGGCTGTGGCGTTAGTGGCGAGGTCCATCCCACATGGCTCACCTGTGTGGTACGGGCCATACCAGGGATCTCTGCGGCAGCGGGGCTAGCCCGCAGGCCCCTACAGCCCTGCACCAACGACAGGGCCCGAGGGTGGGCCCTGGCAGGGAAGGGCCAGGGTGGCATTTTAAAAAACAGTAATTAAAATAGGTTAAAAAAAGTAAAGATAATGCCGCGCGGTGTTGCGGCAGATGGGTGAAGCAGAAAAGCCCGGCTGTCCCGCAGGGTGGGCGCCGCCGCCCGGGACCCGTGGAGACCTGACGGCGGGCGCGGGGGACGCCGCCGGGAGCCGCTTTCCCCGCGGGGAGGCCGTCGGGGCGGCAGCGCTCGGTGCTCCCGAGCCCGCTAGGGGAGGTTGCCTGGGGCGGATCATAACCACGGAACACAAAAGAAAGTGAGTCAAAAAAACCCACCCCTCTCCCCGGTTAATATCATCCCGTCTCGTCTCCAAGGGAAATCCCCGCGGCCGAGTCGCGGGTGTCAGTACACCGGGGCCGCGGCCGCTGGTTTTCCGCCCCGGGGCGGTGCGGTTCGCCCAGCGGCACCCGCGGCCGGGAGGGGGGTAACCACCCCCTCCGGGGCCGGCCAGGGGACCTACGGAAATAAATGTATCAGTTTAGCATAATTAAGAGATTTATTTGTTGTCTTTTATAAACGTTGTAAGCACCTACCCTATTGTCGAAAAGTTTATTTGCAGAGCGGCCGGAAAGAAATCCTCTCTCCTTCCAGCCTCCGTTAGTGGTTGTGCATTATTCGTGTTACCTGCTGCGCGCCGGACCCGGCGAACAACGGGCGTCGGTTCCAGCCAGAGTATTTACATCCATCCCAAGTCCTACTACAAACGTAACACTTTTAAGTCACCAAAACCAAAACCCTAAACCAGTGCGTACAAAAATATAGTCTCTAAAAAAAAAAAAAAAAAAAAAGAAAAAAGAATCCCAATATTAATAGGCAGAAATGTACAGCCATACTAAAACCAGGGAGGGCAAACTTTCCGGTCTCGGTGTCGCCGCTGTCGTCGGAGCAGATCGGTAAGGCACCCCCCACATGCAGACAGGGGACCGGGCTCTACACCACACAAGGCACCAAGGACACCTCACCACGACGGCACTGCATGCATCCATCCATCCTCCCGCCGCAGCCCCTATGTACACCCGCCGGCCGGCCGCCCCGCCCGGCCCGGCCCGGCCCGACCCGACCCGGTCCGGAGGAGCCCGCGGCGCCGCCGGGTGCTGATCGCGCCCCTCAGGGCTCCGCTCCGCGCCCCGCCGCGCTCGGCTGTGGCTCCCCGGCTCCGCGGCTCGGCGGCTCCGCGCCTCAGCGCTGGGTCCTGCGCGCCCCGCTCCCTCAGGGCGTCCGCGTCCGCGCCGCGCAGGGGGCCAGGGTGGCAGCGCCGCTCCCGCCGCCGGGCTGCGGGCACCCGCCGGCGGCGGCGGCTCCTTTCCGCTCCTTCTGGCGCAGGTGGATCTTGGTGTGCCGCTTCCTCTCGTCGGAGCGGGCGAACTTCCTGCCGCAGAAGTCGCAGGCGAAAGGCTTCTCGCCGGTGTGCGTGCGGATGTGGGTGGTGAGGTGGTCGCTGCGGCTGAAGTTCCGCATGCATATGCGGCACTGGAAGGGCTTGTGGCCCGTGTGGATGCGGATGTGCCGAGTGAGCTCGTCGGAGCGGGAGAAGCGGCGGTCGCAGCCCTCGGCGGGGCAGGGGTAGGGCCGCTCGTGAACCGGTGTCTTGCTGGGCCGGTTGGGGTACTTGCGGGGCCGAAGGATGGGCCGCAGCGGCAGGTGGTGCGGGCTGTAGGCGCCGGCGGGCAGCCGGGCGCCCGTGCCCTCGCCCCCGCCGCTGCCGGGAGCACTGCCGGGGGCGGCGCCCGCCGGGGGCGCCCCCATCGTGAAGTTGCGGATGGTGGAGAGCGGCGTGAGCGGCGGCGGGACGCGGAGCGAGTCGAGGGGGCAGGGGAAGGGCTTGCGGTCGGGGCCGGCGTGCAGCTCCCGTTGGCACTGGGGCGGCGGGAAGAAGCCGCCGTACTCGGGGATCATGGTGAAGAGCCCGCCGTCGGCCGCCGCCGCCTTCGGGGAGGGGTAGGAGGGCGGCGGGGGGAAAGGCAGCGCCCCGCCACCGGCGGCGGGCAGGAAGGCTGAGGAGGGGTCTTGCGGGTACAGGTCGCCGCAGCCCGAGTAGGGCGGCGGCGGCGGCGAATAGAGGTGCTCCAGGTCGGGCGGCTGGCCCTGCGCCATGGTGCAGCCGAGGGCCCCGGCCAGCGGGTTGGGGGAGGCAGCGGAGGCGGCGGAGGCGGCGGAGGCAGCGGTGGCCGAGGAGGCGGCGGAGGAGGCGGCGGCGGAGGAGGCGGCGGAGGAGGAGGAGGGCGTGCTGACCCCCTGCAGGATCCCCGCGCTCACGATGTTGATGATGCCCTCGGGGTAGCAGCCGGCGCCGGGGTACTGCGGGTCAATGGAGAATTTGCCCATGTAGGTGAAGGTCTGGTTGCGGGAGGCCGGGGCGTTGGGCGCGAAGCCTCCGCCGTAGGGCAGGTCCAGGGTCCGCTTGTCGCCCATATCCACGTTGATCATGCCGTCTGGGGGGGCAAGGAGCCGGTCAGCCTGCCGCGCCGCCACCCGCCGGGCGGCCCGGCCCCGGTCCCGACCGCCACCCAGCCCGGCCCGGCGCGGGGTTGCGGAGCGCACATGTTGCGCTCCGGCTGCGGGGGCTCCGCGCCGGTCTCAACTTTTCCCCCCGAAACGGGCGCGGAGTCAGGGCTGCCGCGAGGGGCGGCGGGACCCCCCCCGGCAGGGCGGCGGGCGAGCCCTAGGGGCCGCGATCCCCGTTCCAGTTCCCCCCCCCCCGCTCTCCCGCCGCTTCTGGACTCCGCCGCCCTCCGAGGTCCGGCCCGCACCTGTGCGGGCAGCGCTTACCTCCTGCCACACCGCTCATCTGGTCAAACGGCCCTGCCAGGTCGGCATTGGGGAAGATCGCGACCGAAGTTGGCAGCGCGGCGGAGATGTCATCCGTGGGGTAAATACCCTCGGGGAGCTGGTGCACAAACCCGCCGAGGGTCACCGGGATCTTGTCCACCGCCTTGGCGGTCATCATGGGGGCGGCGGGGCTGCCGGGGGAGCGGTTGCTCCCGGCCAGCGGTGCGCGCTCGGGGCGGGGAGGGGAGAGAGAGGAGGGGGCGCTTCCCCCTGCCTCTCACTACCGGCGCGGGGGGACTGCGGGCAGGCGGCGCGGCGCGCAGGGGGGCATGTGCGGGCGGGCGGGCGGCCGCCCCGTCGCGGCGGTGCCGGTGCCCGCGGTGCCCCGGGAGAGCCGCGCTCCCGCCGCAGCTCGCGCTGGAGGACAAGTCTGGCGGTAAGTATTTATGGGGGCCCCCTGAATGCCCGGGACGTCACTGCCCATATAAGGACTGAGGAACGGGGTCTGGCAGTCACGTGGGCGCCCGCATGCGAGACCCGCCGCCCCGCTCCCGCCCCGACTCCCCCCCTTTTCCCCCCTACTCCCAGCGTTGCGCGCCCCGCGGGGGCGGCCCCGACCCGCCCCGGCCGCCCTCGGCCCCCGCCGCGCCGGCAGCGCCCGGCCGCCGCCCGCCGCGCCGCCCAGGGGGGTATTCCGGTGGCGGGGCCCTTGTCCTAAAAAGGCTCGGATCCGGCCCCGCCCCGCCTGTCCTTTTTAGGGCTCGTTCCGGAAAATGTTAAAAAGCTCGGAAAAGCAGAGGAGGTCCCGGGGCCGCCCCGCCGGACCCCTCTCACTTTCTCAAGCAGCCCTTAACCGCAGAGCGGCGGCGAGGCAGAAAACAGCCGCATGCACGGAACGCGGCTGCTCCTTTCTTAACAACAACAACAACAACAAAGATGATATTTTTGTGAATTACGGGTGGAAAGAGCCGCTAAGCGCAGCGAGCGCGTCGTGCTTTTTGTGGAAAGTGTCAGATCTATATATACCCCCGCGAAAACGGCCCCGCCTGCTCCGCCGTCGGTGGGTTGTTATTGCTGTCGGAGGGAGCGGCGGGGACGGGACGAGGCGGGCATGGGGGAGGGGGGGCGGCCGGACCGCCGCCCCCCCCCCCCCCCCCCCCCCGCCTCTTCCCCCCCGCCTCGTCCCGTCGCCGCCGCTCCCCCTTGCTGGGACCGGTGCCATTTCCACTCCCCTTTGCTTTCCTTTCCCTATGCTCTCCTCCAGACGAGGGTATCCAGCTAAAGAGTGCTTAAATTCTAGCTTTTTCTTCTTTTTACCCCTCCCCAGGTACTAAAAATAATCTCCCTTGTGCCTCCCTTCCCAGGAGAAGCCAATCTTTCATACGCTGTTCCCAGGCTCAGAGCTTTCAGCCCCTACATCTTCTTGCTGATGAGGGTGTCAGATGTAATGATTTCTGAGAGCTGTATCCCATGCTATGCTCATGTCACTAATCTTGTTACTTACGAATATTTCATCTCGTGGCTGTTTATTCCCGCCTTTGGGAAAGCAGCTCTCACATATGGTTTGTAGCGTGCAAGGTCCCTTTTCAGTGGTCTGCAGAAGTAAAAATACCCCATTTGATGACCCAAGCAGCAGAAAGACATGGCAACATATGAGTGATGCTACAAAAGCACACTCCTGCTCCAAAGCAGCAAGCCAGAGGATACATGGGAAGGCTAAACACCCTTCACTTTAATTTTTAACTGCAGATACCACTGTTTACAGGGGTTAGCACATTACAGCGTGTGCCACAGACGTGTGGCGTGCTTGGGTGTCCCTGTAACTCATGCACTTACCCTGCCTTGGGTCTCAAATGCTGTCCCTAGGTGCCTGTCCCCCAGGCCTCTCCTTATCCATGCAACACCTCACACCCGAGCTGAGAAAGACTTTTTCAGTTCTTCCACTTTTCTTTCACTGCCATTAGTGAGGCTCCAGGTTTACTACTCCTCTGGTCACCTTGAAGCCCAGTCTAGACAGGAGGGTATCTGAAAAAGTAAAGGTTTTGGGGGCAGTTGTCACAATTGTTAGGGAATAGTAGACATAAACCTAAGTATTTTCCTTGATAGGTGGACTGGGGAAGTGTGCTCAGTAATTAGTAAACATATAGTACTTGTTGGTTTTTAATGTAGATTTTGTTACCTGTCCCTTCTAGCACTTACTGTACAGCCAATACAGTTTGGCATATGAGATTTAGTTGAAAGGAAGCTCATGTTCCATTTCAAGAGATTCTAGATATTTTTATTTAAAATACCCATCTCAATTTAAAAGTAAAATTGTGACAGAGAGACAGAGAGAGAGAGACAGGTTCTGGGAAATTTGACTGAGAAGTAGGAGCAATTGTATTGTACCTTTCCATTACAGCCGAGCTATAATGGGCTAATCGCTACTATGAAAGAACAAAATATTGGAATCTGTTGTGTGCTAGGGTGAGTTACTTTACATGAATTTGAGAAACAGGTAATTCTAAGTACAGTATTCTCCTTCCTGCAAAACGTCGCAGGTGTATCAGATACAGTTTTTAGGGATACCCTGCAACATCTTCCTGTGTTATTTGAAACTATCACATGCCTGCTGATGCCACACAGGAGAAAGAAGAACCAAGGTTTCACATCCCATCTTAACCTCCCCGTGTCTCAATCCCACCTTTGAACTAACATGGTAAATTTAATGTTCTGTTACAGAGAAGGTTTAAAAGAAAGGTGGTTATGAATAAAATGTAACGTTCCTGCTGGCTACTTCACCTAGGGAATTCTACTAATAGTTGACTTTGTAGGTTAATTTTAAAAGGCTTCTCAAGAATGGGGTAAATTGTGCCTGATTTCCAGCCTTTATAAGGACAATCAAATCACTTGATTTCTCTCAATGAGAGCTTTGTCTTAATGGCAGCAGGATCTGGTGCAGAGCAATTTGGAAACGTAGTTAATGTTTGGTCTTCAGGAACATGTTGACAGATGAAACTCAAATGTTTCTGGTCCCTTTTTGGATATTCTTGCTGTAGTGTTTGCATGTGCTTAGAGCCTTTGATCCCCATTTGGCTAATTATAACAGACTCTGAGGGTTAGACTGTCCAATTCGCACTGACGTCAATGAGCCTTAAACACAAAAAATCCTACTGATTCCTGTGGTTCCTATAAGCCACGTGGTTTCATATGATGGACAGATTGCTGGTTTAAACTGCCCAAGCTCCACTTGCACCAAGAAGAGGAGCTGCGCCTCATATGAGTGTGACATGTCTGACTGGGTATAGCCTTGACTGAGGAGGCTTCAGAGCTGAAGGGCAGAACTTCTCTGTTATTCCCAATTTCTTTGAAACCAGCCACCTTTGGGTTTATTGTATTTACTTTTTTTAACAAGGTGCTAGCTGACATTGCACTGGGTGTATTTTCCTGCAGTCATTCTCTACCACAAGAACCTGAGACAGGAGCTGCAGAAATAAAATTATCCTTGCCTCCATACCTGAGCTTGAGAGTGCCTGGGCAAGAAAAGGCAGCTCATCCTCTGTGGAGCTGGCAACACCATTTAACCAGCTTAACATGACATTTGAGTCATCTCTCCAGGGGTTACTGTACTTTTGTAGCAAAAATCAACCAATATCTCACATGCTAACCACAGCAATGCTAGTGGGCCTGCTTGGGAAACGCACCCTGCCACTTCCACTGTGCACCCCACTGCTTTGGGGATGTTAGGGTGGCCCCAGTTCAGCAGGTGCCCGAGAGAGTAGGACTTGTTCCTGGATAGGAGATGAGCGACCCTGTCGCCTTACAACAGCAAGGGATGTCTCTCCTAAGTCTGGGCTAAATTCAGGTTGGGATTGGTGAGGTTTCTTAGTGTTTCACATAAAAGAGAACATCTTTCCAAAGCTCGATTTCAGAGTTTTCAAATTTGCCCCTTTTCTGGGGAATACAGGGACTTGTCTTGTTCTCACAGGAAGAAATGCTGATTTACCATGCTGTGTTGACCCTGACTAGACACCAGGTGCCCACGAAAGCTGCTCTATCACTCCACTCCTCAACCAGGCAGGGAGAAATATGTGACAAAAGGCTCATGTGTTAAGGACAGGAGATCACTCACCAATTACTGTCACAGGCAAAATATACTCGACTTGGGGAAATAAACTTATTACCAATCAAATCAAAGTAGGATGATGAGAAATAAAACCAAAAGTTAAGACATTCTTTCAACCCCTCCCTTCTTCCCAGGGCCAACTTTCTTCCCAAATTCTCTTGTTTCTCCCCCACAGTGGCACAGGGGATGTGGAATGGTGGGTTGTGGTCAGTTCATCACACGTCTCTGTCTCTCCCAGGAGGACTCTTCACACTCTTCCACTGTTCCAGTGTGGGGTCACTCCCACGGGAGACAGTCTTCCATGAACTGCTCCAGCATGGATCCCTTCCATGGCTCGCAGTCCTTCATGAACAGACTGCTCCAGTGTGAGTCCCCCCCAAGGTCACCAGTTCTACCAGCAAACCTGCTCCAGTGTGGGCTCCTCACTCCACAGGTCCTGCCAGGACAGGCCCCAGCACAGGTTTCTCACAGGGTCACAGCCTCCTTCAGGCATCCCCTTGCTCCAGGGTGGTGTCCACCCATGCTGCAGGTGGGTCTGCTCCTCCATGGACCTCCATGGGCTGCAGGGGCACAGCCTGCCTCATCATGGTCTGCATCACAGGCTGCAAGAAATTTCTGCTCTGGTGCCTGGAGCAGCTCCTGCCCTCCTTCCACATGGACCCTGGTGTCTGCAGAGCTGTTTCTCTCACATATTCTCTCTCCTTTTTGTGGCTGCATCTGCCTGGGTTGTTTTCCGCTTCTGAAATCTGCTATCCCAGAGACATTACCACTGTTGCTGATGGGCTTGGCCTTCGCCAGCGGTGGGTCCGTCTTGGAGCTGGCCTATTGGCTATGGGGGAAGCTTCTTGCAGCTTCTCACAGAAGCCACCCCTGTAGCATCCCTGCTACCAAAACCTTGACATGCAAACGCAATAACTTTTGTTTTGCCAGTGGTGCCTGCTGGATTCCCAGACTGCAGGCAAAAGCCACTTCCCTGAAATCTCCTGTGCCTGGCCCTCACAGGTGTGCTACAGACTCTCAGCCTGTATGGGCCAGTTACTTAAACCTGGTAGCCAGCCAGGGAAACCTGCTGTAAACACCAGCCTACAGAAAACAGCTGCCTAACTACTGGTGTGCTAGGGGAAGGGGATGGTTAAAAAGTAGAGGAGAAGGCATCCCAGTCTGCCCTTAATTACAGTACCTTAACCACACTCTGCAGTTTTCAGCCAAGGCTACTTGTTGTCTTGGCATGAATGCCTGTAAATTTGAAGTAAGTAAACGACTTCATTGTGAGGATTTGGCTTGGCAGAGCCTTAGCAGCATCCTGAAGAGTTATTTAAATGTCAATAACCTTTTCTAATTTGGGCCATAGGAATTAAACAAACCCGTGCGTAATCAGCAAGTTACTAGTTTAAGTTTGTGCGGCTGAGAACAAGTGTGCGCAACAGAGAAAACTTCCAGTCAAATAAAAGTAACAACAAACTCGTTTGCCCAGAACCTATTAAATGCGCAGAACATTTCCCGTACATGGCTTCTAGCACATTTATTAAATCTGTAGCCCTGCTTCTGCTCACCGCTTTCATTCCTCACGTAGTAGCGGGGGATCGGAAGCTGCCGCGGCCGGCGGGAGCGAGTCGGGAGCGTGTGCGGGCTCCACTGCCCTCTCCTGGGGGAAGGCGCTCCCTGGAGCCGGCGGGGACACGGACGCTCAGCAGAAAGCCGTGCCCCGGGGCTGAGAGTGCTGCTGGTGTTTCACCATGTAACAGCACCCCGAAAACTTTACATCACAACCGTGCTACCTAGAGACATCAAAGCATAGTCCTGTAGAGTCGGGAATCCCAGCAAGGGCAGCAGAACTGCCTGACTGCAGGCCCACAGGCTGTGATTCCTGTAGTCCCAGAAGAGTCCTGACAGAGTCCACACACCTGAGAGAGATGCTGGAAGCAAGCCATAGAGGGAGCATCCATGCTAAAAGGTTGAAATATTGGCTTTGTATGGTGCTTGCTGGAGGAATAACAACAACAAAAGGTTGCTTCTCGTAACAGGGAGAAGAACTTGGATATACGTATCATTCATGAGACAAGACTCAAAATTATGATGACTGTTTCTAAATAACAGCAGTCTGACTACTAAGTTCTACTTTCCAGTCCTTTCTTCCAAAACTAGTTTCACTTACCATTGTATTTCCTGCTCTAATGTGTCTCCTCTTCTTTGTGCAAATACCACCTTGCCCCATGGCTGCCCTGGGCCTTTAGTCCAGAGAGAGACTAATCGAGCACATCCCTTAGCAATGCAAGTGGCCTTCTTTGAAGACTGAAATAAAACAGAAAGTGTGACAATTTCAGTTCTCCTGTCAGTCCCACTACCTAGTGTTTGAGTACTTTGAAAGCTTCTCAGAAGGTTTTCTGGACATACTTTTATAGTACTGGATATGGCTTTTCACCCTCAGCTGAGCAGTAAAACCATGTATGGCATTTCTTCAGCCCACCAGAAGAGAAATCAGAACTCTGGCACCATTTTTCAGGCAGTCTTTTGAGAAGCAGGAGAGCTGTGTGGGGTGTTTCTCAGAAGCTTCCCACCCCTCCAGGGAAGCTGGAGCATTCACAATATTTCTAGATTGCCAGGGACTCATTTGCCTTTGCCCTGTCTATGTACCACTCTCAGAACCTGTTTAAATTTATGTCTTATTTCCCTGTGCTTTGGTCTTAAACCAATCTGCCTTGAGCCTTGAAAACCCTCAGCTCTTTGTGCTGGGTAAGTCAGTCTGAGTGTGATTCTGGCTTTTCCTTAGTTTTTATCATGATTTATTTTCTGCTCCTGAGGACATGTCTACGTGCTCCAGTCTCACCAGAAGACCATCCTGACTGTGAACTCCTGAGGAGAAGGCTGTTCAGGTTCCTCTTCAGTAAAGTTACCCAATGGATGACTTTCTGTCACAAACTGCCAACAAATTTTCTTGGAGCAGAATTATTACTTTTTTTAAATCCCACAGGAGATTAAAATAAGCAACATGTCTTGCTTCAAAATTTGTAGGGCTACATCTTCAAGCAATTAGTGCAAGTTTTCTGATTCTATAACCCCTACAAGTCTGAGTAAAAGTCTTAATTGGACATGATTTTATTTAAGGTTTGGTTAATTTTTAAGTCTAAAACTCAAACTTCTCCTTAGGGTGAGCATGGTCCTTCTCATTTGGTCTGCTTCCACCTGATTTGCAGGAGTTTGTTTCTATCTTTGTTTTGTTTTCTTTCTGCAATGTATTGTCCTTGTTCTTCCACCTCCTGTCTCATTCATGTCTCTCTACTCTCTGTTGTCCAACTTCTTCAGCTCTCCTTTCTCTCTTCCCCCTGCTGCCTTTCCTCTTCCTTGGTAGTTCCTTTTCCTTTCCCCTTATCTCAGCAATTGCTGTCAACAGCTATATTTGGAATAGAGTGGGAACAAGCTATTCTTGTGACTTTACTTTGAAATAACTGAGAGGAGCAGATGATTTTCTTTGAACAAATAGAGGATACATTGAGGAGAAGACAGGCTAGTAAACTCAAAATTATACTGTTAGGGAATACCTGCCCAGCAGGTTTGTCTCTCCCAGCTCCTGGGATAACTTAACCAGCTATTATTTCTTGTCTCCTCTGTTTTATCTTTAAATCTTCCTTTTGTGCAAAATTCTTTTCTCCAGGTTAGTAACCTGGGTTTCTAACAAGGCCTGGCTCATCACCACAATGTCTGAGCACTTAGGTATCAAGAGGGATGACTGCCTCCTAGAATCTCAGGTGCCAGAATTAGCTGAAACAGGACATGTACTTGTTTAACACTTGAACTCAATGCCATTGTATCTTCTGGTGTAGTGACAGGATACTGTTATAGAGTTCCCATTTGTATGGGATAGAACAGAAATATGCTGGGAGGAACAGTTTCCTATTCCATGTCCTCTCACATTAATTTCTCTTCACCACCTGTTCCTCATCACCCTTGCCATTTAAACTGCTGTAAGCAATACAGTAACAAAACTAGTGAGAAGCAGAGCTATACAAACAGGAGAGCACAGAACGTATTTCTCCCTATCCCCCATATTTCTGTGTTTATACAATTAACTCCCACATTGGCAAACCAAACAAGAAATGAGGCCAAATGAGAAATTCAGCATCACAGCTTAGTGTTTTGTGCCTGTGCCAGAAGAAGACCCAAGTCTATTTGTCTGCTCCCAAGTGAAGCCAGTTCTATTAAAACTGTACTGCCGTACACTTGTTTGTGTGTGAAATTGCTTCATACAGGGAGATACGTGAAACTGCACACAGAAAGATGCAAATTAATCAAAAGAGGGATGGCTGCTAGAAGTTAGACAAGAGGGCAGAAGGAAATGATTCTTCTATCCATTGACGACTTCCTGGGATTTTATAAAGCAGCTAACACAAATGGTCATGATGACATGGGGCTTCCGCTATTGTCTCTGCAATAACTGTTAATAAATTCAGTTTGCCAGCAGAATACATATCAATACCAATATCTTAGGAGAGCAGGGCTGACACAGCTCTAATGTTTTTCAATCAGACCGTCTAACAGAAAAACAGATCAGTCTTCAAGCAAACATTCTTTTCTGTGTCCGCACTGCTACTACTGCCACCATTCTGCAGATCTTGAATGTGCTATGTCAAACAGAGGCTAAGCAAAGGGAAAAAAAGAATGGTGTTATGAATGTGCTATGTCAAACAGAGGCTAAGCAAAGGGTAAAAAGAATGGTCTAGGCTAAGATGTGGCATCTTCTGTCAGCGCTACCACTAATCCCCAACAGAGACTGCCAAGTGTCTCTTTGGGCTTCTGTTTTTTAAAACTGAGCTCAATTTGGTGTATGCAGTGGATATAAGAATATGATTATATTTCATAATGAATTAAAGGCAAGCTCAATGGCTAAGCATATTTCACTGGTATCAGAGGAGTTTTTGCAATTCTGTGCTGCCATAGAAAGTGAATATATTTTATTTGTATGTTTCCAACATCAGGTCAACAGACAAATGAACTTGGACTCATTTGGAAACACTGCTAAATCCACGATGAACTCACAGAGGATTTAGCCCTTCCCTGTTACCTCTTACAACCTGTCCCATACTCACTATGCTGGCAACTTGCAGTTTTCCTCTTAGTCTCCTCAATTGCACATGCTCAGCAGAGCTGAACGACACAGCTGTAAAAAGCATCTGAAAAATAATTTTTGGATTTAAGGCTCCCACGGCAATACATGGGGCACAGGCCCAGGCCAGTGTGCTGAAGAGGGAGCTAGTCCACAGTTGTGTGGCCACAGACAAATCTGCACTCACTTATCCAGGGACCACAAACTGCTTCCCGGGCTCTCAAGAATGCCCATGTGCCTTTGCTTTTTATTATTGAGCAGATGTGTCTAAGGTTCAGCTCAATCTAAGCCATAACTAAACACCATTGAGATTTGAAAAGCAGGCTTTCCCAGCCTCCTTAGTCTGGACCAGCGAAGCTGAGCATTTTGTGAGCCTTTTTTATCACCACCCAGAAGGGAAGGATTTTTATACCCAGAGTTAGAGTCCTTGCACACAGTGTGTGATGTGCTGGACTCAGCCTTCTTTTCTGCCTAAATGCAGTGGAGCAGATTTCTTCCACCACCTTGTAGGACAATGCCCAAAACCATGTTTTAGACTCAGTCTGTGGCCTGCCTATGTCTTTCTGATGCAGACTTTGAACTTTACATGAAGTAAGCCAGCTGGACTGGCTCCACAGCAGAGGTCAGGGTACCTGTCTGGAGAAGAGCCAAAATCCAGTAGGAACATGCAGCTGGTGTCCCTATTTCCACACTCTAGCTTCTAGCAGGTTGTGAGGAGCTGACAGGCTGTGCATCTGGAGGAGGGTTAATGAGAAATCTTTAAAAGTGTTCTGTTGCAAGTATCAATTTGCAGTTACAACTACAACCTGCAAATACTTCCTGAACATCCAAGCAGGGACAACCCCTGTTGCCATAACCTACAAAGGACAGAGGAAGAAAAGATGTGAAGAGACAGCAGCACCAAACAGATGACGTTTTTCACTTTTATTCATACAAAATTATCAAGAACAGGAAGTACTCACCCTGTGACATAAAACAGACGGTCCTTAAATACTCACTGTATCATAAACCCCATCCTGTGATTCAGGATAGTGCTTGTGCTGGATTACACCGAAAACACCAGGCCTGCAGCATGCCTGGATAGGCTGCCCAGGGCTGACATGGACTTTGCAGGCCTTCTAATAAGCACGCCTACTGTAATATGATTTAAAGTTGACAGCATGTCAAAAAACACACACAGTGTCGGAGAAGGAAAGAAATGTTGCTTCCCTTTCTGTCCCCCAACCTCATTACAGGCAAAGGAAAAATAATGTATGTAGAATAATACTTCACAATCCAAAGAGTTTTTCTGGTTTCTAAATCTAGTGAAGAGTCATTGTATATTTTGACAGAAAAATGAATCAAAATAATAAAGTGAATACAAAATTATATTGCTGTCAATAATTTAATTTACACAAAATAGCACTGTGACATGGTAATTGTTATATATGATGCAGCATTCAGTATAATATTTGGAGAATGCATTATAGAAAGTCAACATTTAACTACTAAAATCAACTTACATAATCAAAGCTGTCAGGGAATCTTTACAGTTTTATATTAATTTGAATGTAATTTACTATAGAGGTGTCATTCTTAGAGGTGCTTACAATAGTTAATGATCTCTGCATTCCCATTATAAAATCCTCTTTTCAAAGGTTTATAACTTGGTCTTAAGAACTTTCAGCCCTCCGGCACATTTTCTCTTTCCTTACAAAAACTATGTTAGACATTTTAAACTTTTCTCTCAGAGCAGAAAGTGTGGTTACTTTCAAAATTCATTTTGAGGATTTACTAATTTGCTGCTTCCTATCCAGGGAACTCAGAAAAAGAAAGGTTCTTCACAGCAGAAGACATTACAGTTACATTCTTTTCTTCCACTTTCCTGACTGTATTACACCTAAGCCCATTTTTCTTGCTGAAATGTCTTAAGTATCTTCCAGTATTACATCCAAACCTTCTCTGCATTGTTCCTTCTTTCCTTCCTATGTTGCTGCCATTAAGCTTTCTTCTAGGTCCTTCTCCTCTTCCCAGACTTTGACTCCTGGCTATGTTCGGTGTCTTCTCACAGATGTCCACACTCACTTTGGCAATTGCAGCTTCCACCACACAACATGAGTTAATGGGTCCTCCTGGTGCTACACATTTCCTCATCCTCACCCCCTTTTTCAAGCTGCAGCCCTAATTCACTTCTCCAATTCATTAGAAGTCTAACAATTAGTTTTGCTCTATCAAGTACATTTTTCTCCCTGATCTTACAGGCTTGATTCATACTAGACATTTTCCATCAAACCACCTAGACCTGCTCTGTTGGCTGGTGATTTTAAGTTTACCAGCCACAGGAACTACACAGCCCTGAGGCACTAAAGCTAGGCTTTCTGCCCAGGAGGTAGGACATTGCAAACCAATTGTCCACAAACACACTGTTACAGATCATTTCCAAAACCAGAATTTGAAAGGCAAATTGTCAGCGCAAAGCTATGATCCATAGTAAAAGCAAAGCCAATAATTACCTTGTCTGCTTTGGTAGACCTGTTCCAGTTCATGGGTCTAGTTTTCACAAATCCTGCTCGGATTCACTTTTTTCATCCGCGTCACTCAGCTGTCAATTTGGAACCCCTAAACCCTAATTTTTATGTAACGCCAAGTGTTTTACACCAGACATGTTTGAACCAACATGCACAACTGTATCCAAAATCTAAATTCTCACTACCATGTAAACATCTAGATTTACACAAAAGTAATTATGTCACTCACCCAGGATTTCTTTATTTTCCATGCAAGAAGAAGTTTTTAAAGTATTTGTGGTGCTGTATTCCAGCCGTTCTATCTTTATGTGGCCTCTTTGACCCAGTGCCAACACTTACCCAAAATACTCACTTCCCTTTTTGCATCATTGCCATTTTCCTTGTTTGAAAAAATGACTGTATTACTAATAACTCAATGATGAAATAAATAAGATGGGAATCGCCTTTCTCTTATGCATACTCACAACAGATCTATAGTTTTGGACAAAAAATATCTGTTGCTTACATATCACATTACTGGAGCTGCAAAGAAACACTATTTCATAGGCATGATGTTTTGATGATGGACTTGATTCAAGAAAAATGTGGTCATATTTAGACTAGATAAAACCAATGGCTGACTCATGATGACTTAACTCTGTAACTAGGGCAGATAACAATGAGAAAGACAACACTGGGAGTATTCTGTTTGATCCTTCAGATCAGATTGATAGTTTAGTAGTACAAAAGAACTCTAGAAATCACTTGTTTTCCCCTAGTGGTTATTCAGCTGGACACGAGCAGGATGACTGTCTGGATAAATCTTATTCTACACTTCAGATCTTTATTCTGGTTTTGGAAAAAAAAAAAGAAAAAAAAGATACTAGAAGATTGGCTATAACAAGGACTACTGGCCAAAAGTTTCCAGATGTTATTTCATCATTCTTTGTGCTGAGAAAAAAGAACTAGAAGATGAAACTTTAAAATCATCAGAGAAGCCAAGAACTGTAGAGGTCTCTTCATCCTGCAGAATGAATACAACCTCATAAGCACAGGACCAGAGAGGACATTCTTCCGGACTGGATGATGGTTCCTGCATTTTCACTGTTCCTCCCAGAAAAATGTACCAGACCAGTTTATCTCCATTCAATATTTTTACTCCTTGAATCTGAATGAAGAGGTTTTCCTCTAATGTAGGTAGTGCTGCCCGCTCTCCTGAGGTTGACACCCACTTCATTCATGTATTCCTAGTGCATCAGGGATGTTAGTGGCTACTGGCTTGCAGCCAACATCCCACACATTTCCTCCACAACACAAATGCCTTAATTCTGACCCACTGCCTTTCAAGTAGATAGTGAAAAAAATCAGTCACAAAGAGCTTTGCTTTTATCTGTGTTTCTCCTTCAGAAAGATCTGAAAAAAAGAAAAAAAAAATAAAAATCAGACATTGTCCTTTTTTTTTTTCAAGGTCCGTGGTCAGCAAGGGTGAGATTTGGTGCCTGAGCCCAAGAAGAAGCTGAAGGCACTCAGACAGTGGTGCTTATAGATTTGGGTGAAGGGAGTTTGTAAGCAGGGTAACTGCAGAGGGGGTGGACCACATGGCCTGCCGTCTTGCCAGCAGTCACATCCAGCACCTACTCAGCAGCTCTTCTGCACAACATTCCTTCTGAAGCAGTTCAAACATCACCTACTGTAGGAGCCTGTGTTTTCAGGAAGGGCACTGAAAAAAGATAAGAAGGGACAGTAACTTTTGGCACCCAGATGAAATTTTCTACCTTCAGCACAGAAATTAAGAGCACAGCTGATGTTACCTGATAACTGTGGGGCAGTATGTTCCAAGCCCAGCATCTAAAGGGGCAAGAAGAAAATGTACATGCTTACAAACTGGGCACGTTACAGGCCTGGCACAGCCACCACTAGTGAATTTGAGTTATGACAAATTATGCAACACATATGCATTCTTAAACCCAGAAAAGCCAAACACATACATGGTTTTAAGACCAGTCCATGTAAAAAAAAGGAGGTAGTGGAACAAAGCTGTCCATTTCATAACTCCATTGCACACAACCCTAAGGGAAAACAGCACAGACAGAGAGGTCTTACATTTATTAACATAGCCGAGCAGAAGTGAGGAGAGGTACAGTGATGTTCACAGAGGAACATGGAGCCCAGAATTACAATCTGATATACTAGGAGAGCTGGAATCAGAAGCCAGGGAGAAGAAAAGCATTGGCAAACCATTCAGTTGATTTCCAATGGTGCTGTTGGGATAAAATAAACTATCCTCCAGGTTAACAAGTTATGTAGTCAGAAATATTTGAGGGAAGAGTTTAAGAAATAAATATAAATCAAAAATGCATAGGAAAAGAAAACCCCAAAGACAATGACAATCTGGGGAAAATCACCAGCAAGTGAAAGACAGATGGCCAAATCTCGTGATACAGATAGAAAGATAGTCCACCTCATTCAGTAGAACAAGAGAGTCTGGAAGACTAGAAATAAGAAAGCTAATGAAAATGGAAAATAAGGATTTATAGAAATCATTACACTGACCTTGCATAAATAAAGTTTCAAAGACTGCAAGTATGCTAATCTGAGGAGCAGGATAGCTAGAAGTTTGGAGACAAATGAAAAATTTCACTCCTTGGTACAAGGGGTAAAGGTAGAATATGAACAGAGGTTAAATGTAGTTGGTACTGTTCCAGCTGATTACAATCTCAGAAAAATTACATGGAAACCGATGTTGCCTTATACTGAATTTAAGGGGAATTGCAAAACATACAGATGAACTTGAGGGACAAAACTAAAATAGTAAAAATAACATAGGTTAAAACACAAGCTGCAGAAAACTGACAGCAGGAATGATTTCAGAAAAAAAAGAAGATAGGTAAATTGAATAAAACAGAAGAAAAGGCTGGCACCCATCATTGCCATGACACTTGCATTGCATCTCACTTCCAAGTGCAGAGTCCAATTTGGGAGAAGGCAAGAATCAGAATATTCTCTCTATACAGAAAAAAAAAGGCTTCTTTCTTTTGCAAGTTCTTGTGTCAGTAGCCATTTTATGGGAATGCCTATCATGGCAAATCAGCTGAAAAGCCAGATCATTTTCTAAAGCATCTACCTTCCTAGAGAAAGATTTTAAAGTTGACTGTGTACAATCCAGCTGCTGCTTTTAATCTTTCCCTGACAACAGTAGTTGTTTTATTACTTTGACAGTCATTTTTAGCCCATGAATAGTACCACAGTCCTTGTAAGATAGGAAAGTTCTTTTGATCTACAATTTCATAAGGTTTAACAACGGACAAAGGGTTTTTCTGGTATACTTGACCACACACTTGCTGAAGTTTAGGCTTAGAGGCAATAAAAAGGCACTAAGCTATCCATTTTGAGAAACACAAAAATCCTTTTTGACAAGTAATGACTGTCAGAAAAAAAATTATTTCAAAATTACTACCTATTAATAGAAAATTAAGAGCAAGGTTATCCCTGAAATAATTTTGACGCATTGCAAAAAAAAAAAAAAATTAAATTTCATACTGTTTTAATATAGTGTGATCTAGAGGATAAAAAATATGGATGCAAGATAGGCATTGTATATGAGCACAAAAAAAGGAAGGCATTTCAAGTTGTCTGTAATAACTAAGAGAAACCGGGAGAAGACTCAGGCAGACAAAGCAGTTTTCCAGCATCATGGCTTGTTCTATTTGCTCTACAAGCAAGAACTTTGTTTTGTGCAGTCTGAAAAAAACTGAATAAATTCAAAAATAAAATATATTTCCAAACAAGAATAAAAAGCCATTCATCAGCCATTTTGAGTGAAAAAAAAGTATTTAAAAGTTACTAAAACTCTAATTTTTTTAGTACAGGCTGCAGCACTTTAAACACTTACATACATGTTTAAGTTCACACACATGTGCATCCCATTTTCTTGTCCTATTCGCATTGGAACCCATTCTATTTTTGCTTATGTATAAGGAATTAAAACAGAAGGCTTTTATGATATTAAAAGCATAAGGGCAATGTTTCTAGGGCAGCTACCTATTTAGCAGCTAGTCAGCTGAGTACATATCTACCTATGGAGAATATTCAGATAATGTGCTGGACTGTAGTCTAACTTCAAGTTCTTTCTAAAAGAAGTGCAGCAGAGGCTGTACACACACATGCACACACGTGTGTGTGTGTATTCGTAATTGAACTGACGAAGCCTGGGTTGAGTTTCCTTTGAAAACCATAAGTCTATTGGCATTGCCAATTTCCGTGAAAACTTTCATTCCTAAAAACCCACACCAAGTTTAAAATTTAAGCAGAGTGAAAAAAAACAAAATCTTATTTTTTTCCTGGGTGAAGTTAGAAATTGGTCATCTTGATACGTAAATGAGATTGGCTAGAAGGAAATTAAAGGAGGATGAAAAAAAACATCCTCTGCCACCCCTGCACTGTTCAATTGTTCACATATTTATAGTATTTCTTAAGTGAGTATTTCAGGAGACAAAACTATTGGATTTCATGCCTTTTGCTAGACAGCTTTTGTTTACAGTCTCTTGAAATTTCCACAGAATTCCCCAAAATCACACTTTCTGGCAAAATACCAGCCTGACTCCTACAGTCTAACATTTACAACACAGTATTTTCAGCTAAACCACTGTCCTTTGGTTTCATTACATTCTCTTGGCAAAATACTGAGATGTCTCTGTGCAATTATTAAAAAAACCACAGAAGTCCCCTACTACCAGCCGAAACTGACCCCAGTATCACTGACCTTCAGAAAACAACTCTCAGTGCAAGCAGAGACCTTCACCTCTGTTTCCCAGTTTTCTAGAACTCTAAATGAAAGTCTTTTTAAAGGTTCACCTTCACCCTAAACTCTTAAAGTTTAGGGCAGCTCCAACATTTTGGAATAAGGCACAACTGAGCTCTGCATATGCAAGACACTTCTTTCCATTCTTTCTTCCTGATTAGGAAGATTCAGAGGGATGAATTTTGGCCTCTGTTTTTTTGCTAATTATAGTTAGAAGTTCCTACAGAAAATCAGCTTCTTGTGACAGGCCATGCCTGGCCTTACAATGGGCCTAGCATTTGCACACTCAGCTCACTCAATTGACTTATTCCCTGCCCTTATCAGCTCTTGGACTTCCCTTTGAGACCTCAGTCCACTAAAGAGGGAAAGATGGACTTACTACAGCAAACATGGGCTTGTGTTTCTGCATTCTTTCTGCCACATCTTGCAAAGTGCTTAAGGTAATGCACTGTGCAATAAAAATGAATGAAAATTTGAAAGCGCAAGCAGAGCTGTGCTCTGATAATCCATGCAAAATGCAGTTCATGAAGATGTCTTCTCCATCTCTCTAGGCTCTCTAGGCCATCAACTCTAAAAAATTAAAAAGAGGTCTGGCTCCAAACCCTACTGATGCTATGAGCAATTGCCCCTCACAAAGTAAGATGCAGCTTTTGGACTGCTCCCAGCACAGCAATGCCTGGGGAGCTCCTGCTCACCCAGACTGCCACCGTGCAGCTGACAAGCAGATCACTGCATGTACAAGGCAGTAGTGCTATGAGGTCAGCAGGAACTTTGTGAGAGTGAGACTGGTCAAGCTTTGGGGGGCAAAGACTACCCCACCGTTCTGTTGTCTAAAGTAATGCTTATTTAGCTGATGATTTATGTCTGCAAAAACATCAATTTCTACACAAGTTATTCATCAAAAGACTAGATACACTGTTTCTGATTTTCATCACTGACTTTAGGAATATGTCACGTAATAAATCTGAAGTAGGTATGAATAAACAAATATGGCATTATACTAAGCTTGTTAATTATCCACCAAGCTACACAGTGTTAGAAGTACACACAGTACTGGGAGTTCATGGAAGATGAGTTTGCAAAAGGTAAAAATTATCATCTACATGATCAGAAACCTCATTTCACTTTTAGCTTCACCTGCTTTGGATGTTTTGGTTAAAAGTGTATTAATAATTTCCATGTTGTTATTGTCTGATTTAGCATATTATATCTTTGTATGAGATTTCAATGTTCTGCACACTGTACCTAAGAACAATCAGACAATTCTTTCTAGTGCAGTATTCTGTCTGTGTTAATTTGTAAAATAACAGCTACTCCTCCATGTTTGGAACCAGAGAAAGAATACAAAGCTTTTCACCTTATAAGGGGAAGAAAGAAAGAAAAAAAAGAAAGTTCATTTCTCAATTGGGAATAAAGGGTCCAACCTTTTGGCATCAGCACACTGATTCAGATCATCTCTTGTAGAAGGACACAAATGTTGTCTTCTGAATTACAGTCCCAGTTGAAGCTTTTCTGCATAGTGGAGCAAATCATAAATGTAAGGCCGTCATTAGCAGATAGAGCTTTCTTCAGATTTTTATTCCTGGACACCCAGCATTTCAGCCATCAGCCCCAAGACAAAAAGAAAGGAAAGGCCAAAAGATTTGGCACTAAGCTGTGTTTGTAAGGACACTCCTGCAAAACCTCTTCCGTGCACTTAGAGAACAGTGCCTGCTTTCATTCAGGCTCATCACCCTAACACCTCCTCATCTTCCTCCTTGATGTGACAGTGACTTCTACAGCAATCACATTCCCACACCTTCTTCAGGAAGAAAGGATGCTTGTTTTCTCCTGGCTTCATTTACCTTGCCTGCAGTACCAGCCAATAGTCAGTACTGCTGTACCAAGGGTGCTGCTGCAAAATGCAGGTCAGTGTTCTCTCAGTGCTATGGTAATCTAAGAAACAAATTACACTGATGTAAAAAGAATTTAAACAACCAAAGAAGGAGTCCCATAGCCTATACACTCTTGTGCCCCATTTCTATGTCATTCTCCCAGCAAGTGGTCCTGGCCAGGATGTTGCAGCATCATTCTAACAGTTGGCATGAGCACTGCTGATTCACCTTCCTCTCAAGTTCACATCTTCTCCCTTGTATCTGAAACTGCTTCATATTACTGGAGATAAGGAAGCATCCTCCCCTAGTAAGAGATGCTGTATATATAAGGAAAAGGATGAAAAAGGAAAAAGAAGTTTGTATGATTTGCATGGGCTATAATATATATACATGCACATATATATAGTGTTTGTTTGTATCTACCTGTTGTTCTACATTTCTAACAAACACGTAGCTAAGAGAGCCTTTGGCTTGCAGTTTGGGGTAGGTGGTTTCTCATATAAACATATAAGGCTACATTACAGCTACAAATGGTTTTGTTTGAACATATAACACCGTAACAGTGGGAAAATATCTGTGATAAGCTTTTACAGATGATGTTCTTAAGCCTTGTGCTGGTGTATTAGTGTTGCTAAACCCAACAGACTACAGTTGTATCCCTGATAAACTGAGTATTGATATGAGACAAAACTAAGCGTTCAGAAAATTTTCAACAAACGAGGTACTATTGTGATATGTATGAAGATCCCTCAGAAAGGAGTACATTTATTGCTAATAAGCATCCAAAGCAAGCTGGATACCTAGGGCTGCTGGATTATTTTTATTTTTATCAATAAATTGTGGAGGAAATTGCAGAATTGATATTAATCTTGCCCCTTAACACTTTGTGCTGTGAGATTTCCTCAAGGTCTATTTAAATTTAATTTCATAAACATTCCTTGAAAGTAGAGGTTTTAGAAAAAATGAAATGACCTGGGTGCCCTGTGACATGGGCTATATTTAGAATTACCTTTGCAGAAAGGGAACACCTCAATAAATGCTCCTCATGGCCATTTGTGACAGAGGGTTATATGTCTGCCAACGCAACCTACATTTTTTACGCTAATAGTACAAGCCAGAATAAATATTATCTCCACTCGTGTGACAAACCTTTGATAAAGTAGAATTGGCCTGGTTGATTAGGAGTATGTGTCAAAGCCAGATAATGGGGGAATCCCTTTCAGCAGCAGCAAACCACCTCAGCAACCATAATGAGACCAATTTAATGAGCCTTCTGTTTTACAAGAGATATTAATTGCAGTCCTGTCACATATGGTACAATTCAGATAAAATGCGCAAAAAGGAGGGAAATTGGATTTCATTACATTTTTGTCATGATTATACATTTTTTTGCAGGATCATAAATCTCCCCAGTGATGATCTAAATACTCTGGGTGGCTGACAACGCTGCCGTAGAACAGGGTGCATTGTTATGAAGGATGTTGAACACTGGAAGAATGTCAGGCTTTCCATTGCATCTTTCTGCCATTACGATTTTTATTCTACTCTAGGCAATTTTTGTATGTTTGTTTTGTAAAAACAAAGAAAGAAGGCACCACTCCTCTGTATCCAGCCACAAGGATGCTTCCTAAACTCTCACCAGTATGATCATGATCTTATACAAGTTTCTGCAAGTGCTTCATTTGATACTTCTTCAATGAGGTTCACGGACTTACGGTTAAACATACACCCAAGTGTTGTGCTGGATTGGAGTGCAAATTATCTGCATGCAAGTAAATGAGAACTCCCAGTTCAGTGTTTCAGTAGTTGTATCTTCATCCAATTGCTATTCATAATAGAATATGTGTTTGTGTATTATATAAGCTTTGTATTGCCAAAAAGAGTGCTTTCAGGCAGGGCTCCTTCAATTAAGGAGATGGTTGACCTGCGAGATGATAGATGCTCCTGGCTGCTTCATGGCAGCGGGAATGCTCTCCCACACTACATCCTCACCTGTGAGTCAGAGCAGCTGCAGGCTGATCACCTGTATGTGGCAGATGCTGAACAGAGAGTGCAGCCCATGGCTGTGTTGCAGCACTGAACAAGTCTCAGCTACCAAGTTGCACATCTGCTTGTGATGAGGATTTACCATTAAAATTAATTCTAAAAAATACATTGTTACTTCACTGGACATAATGTCCTTCTGAACGTTGTCTTCTAACAATGAGTAGGTATACTTGCAATGAAACAGTGGCTGCTAAGCTCTTACTACAATATATTCAGCCCTAAGTATTACCAAAATATATAAAAATTGGAGAGACACAAATTTATTCCTTATTCCTAATACAGCTGTCAGGCTCAAAGAGTTCAGTTTGCTGAACGATACTGCAACAGCAGTTTTGCAGATAGCCTTGTTGCTGAAATGCTGAACCTTAAAGCTGTTCATAATCTTAAAGCTCTTGTCCCTGCAATGCCAAGAACTTCAAAACCATGACATGTACCACCTGTGAACCTTGGTCATCAAAAGCTTGATTTTTTTGCTGGTTACTGAGAAGGAACTAGGTGGGGAAAAAAGCAAATATGGGGTATTTATTCTACAAAACACGTTAATAGAAATTTTTCTTTTTCAGCAAGGAACAAGGACACCCACAAGGACAAGTAGATTCAAGACAGTTTAGGACATCGTAAGAACAGAGAGACTAAAGCTGCTTGCTTATGAGAATTCAGGCAAGGACAGGCTCACCAGCAGTGGTTGACTTAAGGGACTTTAGGTGACACGTCAGGCAGCTTCTAAGAAAACTTTCACACATTGATGCCAACAGTAAAGTCAATCATTTTCTGCACATAGCCTGCATATTCAGGAAGCATGGTATTGAACTTCAGCCAGCCATGCACATACTGCAGAATTCAAAGCACAGTGTAAGTCTGCCAGCCAAATTAAATGAAACATTGAAACACACTTTTCAAAGTCTGGTCTTGTTCAGCAAAGTACTTGCATGTTTTGGACACATCTCTGAGTGATAGTGGTTCCTAAATCCCATCCTCAAAAAAAGACTCAGGGCCACGTGCCCTAAGATGCAAATATGTACTAAACCTGGGTTCTCAAAAGTATCTTGGAGTCCTAATCTGTATTTTTAAAGTCCCAGCTAGAGTTTATCTCCGTTTTAGAACCTTGATAATTTCAGAAAATCTGTCCAAAGAGTTTCATTTGCTTCTGAAAAGAGATGCTTTAAAAATTATAAATATGCAATTCACAGTAATAGAACCTCAGCATGCACTCCCATACCTGCTGGACTAGAAAGGAAGTCTGACACTAGAAAGAGCAGCTTTTTACCGCTTGTATGGAAATACTGAGATCATTTCAGGTAACCCTGTGCAGAGATAAAAGGAACAACAGGGTTTTTGTAGGCAGTATTTTCTGATTGTAAGGAAAAAAACAAAACAAAACAACAAACAACACAATATGTGAGAATATTTGTTGGTAAAATTATTAAATAATCATTTAATGATTTTAGGTTTTGGGGGTTTTTTAGATTTTCATTAGGGGAAAATAATGACAAGGTAAGACAGTGTAACATACCATTTCATATACACTGCACCCTGACAATATCGGTTTTGAGATTAGCTATTTAATTTTCCTGAAAAGTACCATGTACGCATAAACTACTTAATGAAATATGGGAAGCTGTAGTCTAGCAAGCCCCTTCACATTCTGAACATGAAAGAGTAAGGAGTACACTAGAATATTGATAATCCAATGAAATATTTTGATGTTGGAAAATATATTAGTTTTCAGTAATTATGACTCATCAAGAAAGAGAAAGAAGAAAAGAATGAATACATTAACTCATTTTGATTGTCCTTTGTACTGTCACATCATGAGCAAATAAGATCCTCATGTATGTAAAAGCAGCATTTGGTCTCTCCTACAGGGAGATCACTTACCGACTGAGCTGGGACGGACCCTTTTCCGTGACCTTTGTGAAAGTCGCCCCCGCTCTCCTGCAGTTAACATGTTCTGAAGATCACTCTTTGTTTCAGTGCCTTTGGTCACATACTAGCAATGGACTCTGCTACACTGGAATTAATTAAACAAACTGCTCCAAGCTTTAATCTTTTATACAGCAGCTAGCGCAACAGAGAATGTCATGAGTTCTGCATTTGTATGCATTCAGCAGAAAAAAGTATGTGTGGCATTGCCTCTGCTGTGATCAACATGCCTATTGATACTTTCACGCTGTTCCATGATAGCTACTTCCTTAAACAAGCACCTATGAGTAAATAATATCAAGGACAGATTTGTCTTCTTATATTGAATTTCAATGACCATGATAAAACCTGTGAGTATCCAGAAAACCAGCCTTCCAGTATACAGGAAAACTCAGTTTTCAAACCACCAACTGACCTGCCAAATATGTAGACTTCTCAGGATCAGTGTTCAAATGTCACAAAGCGGTGCTCCCCCCACTCCACAGCCTGGGCAAGACATATAGGAAGGTGTCAGATCCTAGTGTTTTTTTATGGCTTTTCCAGGACACTTGAAACAACTCAGGTGAGCACATATTTGACATCCTCTTGACCCTTCAGTTTGCTCTCCCTGTATGGCACCAGCTCTCTGGGGCTCTACAAAAAGCAAAAGTTCTCAGGAGACCCTGATGCAAACTGGCAGCTGCAACAGGGTAAGACGTCTAGTTATTGGTTTATACACCCCAGCCTTCTTGCAAACATCCCAAATCCACAGCTCAGCCCAAACCCTTCCTGCCTTACTAAAATAAAAGGTTAATGTCCAAATCAGAAGTGCGGAACAGTTCTGGTACCCTGGGGTGTGAGATTTCACGTGAGTTGGGGAGTGTGTGTGAAAAATGTTGTTAGCTAGTCACCTCTCGCCTACCGTTAGAGGAAGGTGCTTGTTATTCCGGGGGAAATTAGAATACTTTCAGATCACAAAGTACTTAAAATGCAACTACTTCAAAAAGACAGGCTACAACTGAAGTTTTCAGCAGGCTTTCAGAACCCCACCCTCAGCAAAGCAGAAAGAAAAGAAACGGGAGCTCAGCATTTCTCACAAAATAGGGCTGTGCAAAACCCCCAGGCCAAAAGTACTCTTCAGAGATCCTCGGAGAGCATAAAAGATCAAAACTTCAACCTCAGCCCTGTGTATCTGAATTGCTAATAGACGCTCAGTACTGTCTCCATTTGCAGCATCACACAACAAGAATTAGAGGTAATAATGTTTTTAAGGAAAGGGAGTGTTTCACATTGCCAGAAGCATCTTCAAGACTCAGGATTATGATATAGCATTTTCCATCTTGCCCTGAACAAGGTTTTCCAATCACCAGTTTATGAACAGCTGCACCAATACTGAGCTGTTCTTATGTGCTAAATAACAATGGGACATTGCAAAACTACAAAGGCTCGTCCTGTCCATTTAACCAGCATGTCACATGGAGACAAAGCATAATGCAGCCCTGTGAAAAGTCCACCCACAAACTTCATTTCACACTATAGAATGAGGCACTGGAGTTCTCTGTCTTCTTTCTCTCACATGAGTTCACACGGCAGCAACTTAAATATTTTGGAGACTGCAAAACATAGCTTTCCACAAAGTCACTTGATTAAAAAAAGAAATAAAAATTAAAAATATTTCAGTTTAGCTTGCTATTGCTTTCTTGTTCAAAACTGCTGTTTTCAGTTGAAAATATAAATCAATACTGAACAATAATACAGAACAGTTGCCATTGAAAAGCAAAGCCCTGTCATCTTATTGAAATCTAACACTACTTAATTTGAATCCACAGCACTTTGAAGTGAATATAAAATGCTATTACTAGAAATACAATTTTTTTTTATTACTGAAATATGCTGCCTTAAATTGTAAGATAAAATCTAAAAAACACCACCTTTTATGTTATCAAACAGGAGATATTTATTTTATCAATTTAAACAACAATGAAATGTCCAATATACTGACACAGTGGTACCAAAAAGGATAACCCACTTCCCTTCTTACACACACACACAGACATACAAACACACACTCTTCTTACCCAAAGCTGACAGAACAGCCACAGCTCCAAAAGGAGGGGCTAAAAGAGCAACAAACCCAAATATTAACTGTCAGAAAAGTATATTCCTCAGCAAAACTTTATTTGGAAGACAATGTCCTGCTGTTGCTGCAGTGTGTTGATGGGACTACACAACAAAGGCACTATAACAGCAAACAGAAATTAAAAGGAAGGGATAGTGAAGTGGATTTAAAACTACTATTTTAGTTTATTTTTCCCAAGCAGAGTGGTAGTAATTAGTGAGGGCTGCAGTTAAAAAATCAAATATTCCTGGAAGAAGTCCTTTATATGAAAAATCGAATCATTCGTATTTGGTTTTATTCAGATGCTATAAGCTCCATAACAATCCATTTAATTTTATATTTAATTAATTCTCACCACTGGAAATTACAACAAACTTAGAAAAACATTCTTAAGGAGACAGCTGGTGGCTCAGGTTTCCCAACACTGCTCATTCTAAGCCTTTCTGAGAATTCACTGACGAACTTCCCCACCAACATCCCTGCGTAGCAGAGTCCCAGCACTATAAACCACCAGCATTTACAGTTGGTTTAAGAATCATGAAAAAAATTGAAAATATTCTTCTGCAAAGCAAAGGGAGGGTAACAGCTTTATGCTAAAATTGCATGCAAACAACTAATCAGGTCCTGCAACATGCTCAACATTTTCACCTGCCATAAACTCAAGGCGCTGCCAGGGTGGATCCAAGAACACAGTTTAGGGACTTTTGCCTGAATACACTTTTGGATATTACTCCAGCAACAGTTACACCCAGAAACTTCTTTATCTAAGAACTATCAGTACAAAATGTAGTATTTCCCATAACAGTCTGAAGAAGAATAACTTCAGTGAGCAGTCCTGCTAAGTCACTTGCCTTGATGATAAAGGCCCTGTTTTGGTCACTGAGTTTAAGCACTAGTGCTGCTTTTTTGATTTTGCCAGATAAGGACTGCAGGAGTCAACAGACATATCAGTCCTCAAAATCAGGATAAAGAACCTGTTTAAATGTCATGGTTAAATAAGGCCTTTAAGACCCAATTCTCTGACATGCAGGTGAGCACAATGAAACTACAGTAACAGACATTATGCAGGTACGACTGGAGCAGGATACAGACACAGAGCCAGCTGAAAGCTGCAGAGAACCAGATGGGAGATCTTCCAGATGGCATAACCACACTGTCAAGAAAAGTAAAAGAAAATTTTGCCGGGTGCCAGTCTTCCTGAGCTGAAGCCATTGAAAAAAAAAAAACCTGCAGGAATGAAAAAGAGCTTACCTAGATGCTTCTGAAAAATTAAGCTAGAAGATTGTGATGAGAGCAGGATAAATTACATCTCTGCTGCATACTTAGGAATTCTTAAGGTAAAATAAAATTTAAAAAATCCCAAACAACAACAACAAAGCACTACCAAACCCCAAACCAGCAGTAAAATAAATCAAATTAATCACCATTGACTGACTTTCCTCAAGATTACATGACCCACACAACTCCAGAAGAAAAACTGTTTCTCTGCAGCCAGGCTGTTATGACACTACCTTGCAAATAAGAACTCTCCTTTACTGTAATGGGTCTTGACATTGACTTTGTCATGTTAATTTGCCAAATCCCAGTATTGGCTTGAATTGAGGTAGCAAAGAAACATCAACCACCAGCTAAGTCCATGAAGCACAAAAGCTGCCTTTTTATGGTCAGTGGTAGTCTCCGTACCTTTCTTCCTTTTAGCAAAATTAATGGTCAGATGCAGAAAAAATGCAGACTGTCTAAACCGTAAATTATCTTCTTGTTTCTGGAATAAACAGGGAATCTTTGGAAAAATTAGCAAACAAAAAGGGAAAGAAAAAAAAAAAGAGGGGAAGAGGCGGAAGAGTGAACCCCACTGAATCATTTGACAGATCTTGTTTCTTAAAGAAAGCAAGCTAAAACTTTGTCAGCTAAAGTAAATTTGAGATAGGGGAGCAGAAGAACTGAGAGCAGCCTGTAAATGATAGCCAACATGAATGCAAGGACTATGTACTGCATACTGGTATCTGCAGAAGATGCAGGAAGCAGACTGAGCAGGTATACAGACACATCTGGCAAGCCAAGCATAGAAGAAACATAAAAATATGAAAATCCTGTATTGTATTTTGTACGGGTTTTACAAGCACCTTGCTGATGCAGGCCCCAAAGACAGGAAGAGAATGATTGCTGTCTCACTTTGTAAATGGGAATTTTGGTATCTTTGGAAGACACTGGAGTTGTCCAAAAACTTTGGGGAGGGCTTTCACCTATCTTATTTTACCTCCATCTGTCTCACATACACCCTCAGTCTCATGCTGGGTTATAGCCAGGTGTTTATGTTTCATGCTTGATTAGATACATAAGAGAACAGCATTTTGGTACAAACACAGGAGGAGCCAGGCAAGAAGCTGCACGAGGAGGTTGCAGGGAATGAGCATGAAATACTCTGTACTGGCTTGCCTCATTCTGTGGGCTGCACTTTTTCTCAGAGGCTAGGGTCCTTTATTCCTACAGCTCAGGGTGCTGATTTTCCAGCAGGAGTACATCAAGCTGCTACTCTAAGCCATCAGCAATTCCAGTCTGATGTTTTTAAGAACACCATTGGTGCCCCACCTGCCTTTCTGGGGGGAAATGTGTCTTTGCTACAGACAGATTGATTACTAGGAGCATGAGAGCTAAACAATATATACATTTACACAAATTACATAATGTGTGAATGCAAAGCTTTGGTTCAATCAAAGGCAGCAGCCTCAGAGGGAACTAGACAGGGACATGAATAGGTTGAAATTAATGACTCCCGGAGATACAGTAGAATTCAGCTTCATACTGTGTTTCTGGCTAAGTTCACAAGCAAGTGTCTCAAGAAGATAACAAGCATCTAAAAGTAAAATCAGCCTCAGCACAGCAACGGGCAAAAAATTTGATTGTAACCTGTAAATCAAACATCAAAGGTCTTACAAGGCTATTGATCACAGGTGGACACTTAACAGAAATGTCATACTGTACACCTGACATAAAAAAGCTGCCCTAGTCTCTTCTTTCCCATGCACAAGTGACTCACTATGCACGTAAACGTCATATCTAGTAAACAATTAATTTAAAATCATTTAGGTACAGCAGAAAATGTATTTTAATGGTATTTTTCTAAAGGTCAGGTAATGCAAAGAAAAACAGAGAAACAGGAGACAAAAACTTTTCCAGGAATAATTTGAATAGCCTACTAATAGCTTATATAATATAATGGTATTTAAAAAAATTAGCACTACATAAGTGAGAAGGAATAAGCAGCATGGCAGGGTCAAGATCAAGACTCAGGAAATTTCCATTAAGG